CCCCCCCTCCTCTCTTTACCCACAACCGGTGATTGCCATTTGCGCCGCTCACGTGTAATCCACGCTCTCTGTTTCGGAGCGTCCGTTGGCAGTGTAGTCGTTCTTGAGGGAGAGAGAGTGGACGCCGTCGAGAAGGTCTTCCACCGTAACCGACGCGTTCGCCGACAGTGCCACCGGCACCCAGCCGGCCGAATCCAGCGACCACTGTTAGTTGATGATTCGCGTGGGCACGTGATGACGGGGGCGAAACATTGATTATCGTGCCCACCGACCAAACAATCTTGTTTGTGGTGCTTTCGTTGGTGCATGTCGGTGTGAAGGGGCCAAACACTGGGGTCGTGGTCACCGACCACACGATTGTTTGAGGCGTTTTATAAGAGTCTATCCGTCGTGATGTCGTCTTGGCACGCTCGTGTGTGTGTTCATCACGCGCACAGACATCAGCAAATACGAAATACACCCGCGTTTGGTTAATACAAGTTCTACCGAGCATACCACGACGCGTGTGAAACGGCGCCGTTGTGCAAAGTTGTCGCAGAGCTGGGAAAGATGCCTTGCCACGTGAATCTACACGGCGGTAAAATTAGAGTTCAACTCCCATAGAAGGAAGGCGCAGTGCCGAACAAGACTCGCATGCAACATGTTGATACATAGGCCCGCCCGCCGCGAGCAAAGAGGCGCATGGGTACACCATGTTGGTAACGAGCGGACGATAAGCCTCTCCTGATACTACATAGTACGATGGCGTTTGAGAGACGGATGACCGCTGTAGCCTGCGCACACTGCGAATAGCCGGCCGGAAATCAACCAAGGTTAAGGTTTGGGAGGAATCGCTTGTACGTGTAGGGCTGGCAGGCGTCATCCGGCGTTGACACACGCATATGAAATAGAGACTCTGCTTTAATTTTAGGGTAGAGCTGGGGGACGCCGAAGAAAAGCAGGACGCCCCATATGCAATGCAAGTGACTCTCGGTCGCTGCTTGTTGTCACCTGCACATCGACGGCGTTTGCATGCCGTCACCAACCAACTGACATCCATCTGAGAGGCAGCAGGTCGTCGCGGTACGCAGGACACACACCAGAGGCCATTCAACGAGTTATACAACAGTAGTAGCAGCGGTAGCAGCGACCCATTCGACAACAACCATGCTTGTCAAACCCTGGTCCAATCCCACCAGCATGCCGGCCTTCAACACGGCAATGCCCGGTCATGGCCGGAGCGCCGGAGCTTCCTTCCTCCTTCGAATTTTAGTGCTGCAGGCGGTCATATACGTGTAACTCAACTAAACTCTCCGCCTCTACTCTGCTGATGTGTCAGAGTCAATCCCTTCGGGGTTCGTGCTAAAGCCAGCACCAACACACGCAACGCTGCGCCCTGCTCACCTTGACGTCGCACCCGTCATCCTCGGTGGTGTCCAGCGGCGTGCAGACGTACGTGAACGTGGCGCTCCTCTCGTTGGTGGTCCTCTTCGGCACTTGGTCCAGCTGCAGCAAAGCCGACACCCTGTTAATGGCACAGCCGAGTAGCAGTCCCACTGCTGCCACAGACCATCGGCGTGTTCTCCGCGTGTTTCCTGTGGACATGTGGAAATGAGCTCGCTCTCGTGCTACCTCCTGGTGCTGTCTTCGGTCACCGACCCGCCTGCGCCTATATCCCCGAACCCGCAGCGCTTTCTCCATCATCATGCCATCCAGTTCTTTGATCGCGTGTCCCTGGTCCGTACCAGCAAACCAACCGACCACTACAGCAGCACTTACGACGGGCCGGCCCGTTCCACCTCCTCCACAGCGGTCGCTAACGTTTCTAGGAAAACAGCACCTATTGGCCTACGTTGATACCTAGCACTGGGCACACCGGCAAACACAGCACAGACAAGAGCCAGCGCTGGCGGTTCTTCTCAATAGGGGGCAACGCGTATCGGATTTGTAAAAGACGGCGTACCCATGTCACCGTAAAGGCGCGTCCCCCCTTGCCTCCGGTTGGTCGGGCGCCACCGACATCTTTCAGCACAGACGTATCTTCTCTCCCCCTCTCTGTCTGATGGCAGAGCCCAAGGATGATCCAGACGCGGCCTATTTCATGGACAAGGTAAAGCTTTCGAGAAGTGTCAATTGACCATCAGAAACACACCTCGTGTCTTCCAGAAATTTGAGAGCCAAAGACATCGTGAAATCTGAACTCCGCCTTTTACGGTCCCGTGGCTGTTGCGTCGCCCCTTTCTCGCTACAGATAGCAAACCATCTTGGGAACAGCGGCTTGGAAGAGGTGAGCCGTTAGTGGTAAATCGTGAGGGTCGGACCTGCCTCGATCGTATGAGGTAGAGAGAAATACAGTTGTGCTACTGTAGTACGGGATGCTCGCAATCTCGCAAGTGGAAACATGGCTGCACTACCTCGGGAGTATCCGTCCGCAATCTGGATTTGTTTGTTAGTTACACCCCCTGCCTTGTCAAAGTGAGCAAGATTACAACATTATAATGGATGGGAGATGTGCCAGAACTCGAGGAGATGGCNAAGACTCGCATGCAACATGTTGATACATAGGCCCGCCCGCCGCGAGCAAAGAGGCGCATGGGTACACCATGTTGGTAACGAGCGGACGATAAGCCTCTCCTGATACTACATAGTACGATGGCGTTTGAGAGACGGATGACCGCTGTAGCCTGCGCACACTGCGAATAGCCGGCCGGAAATCAACCAAGGTTAAGGTTTGGGAGGAATCGCTTGTACGTGTAGGGCTGGCAGGCGTCATCCGGCGTTGACACACGCATATGAAATAGAGACTCTGCTTTAATTTTAGGGTAGAGCTGGGGGACGCCGAAGAAAAGCAGGACGCCCCATATGCAATGCAAGTGACTCTCGGTCGCTGCTTGTTGTCACCTGCACATCGACGGCGTTTGCATGCCGTCACCAACCAACTGACATCCATCTGAGAGGCAGCAGGTCGTCGCGGTACGCAGGACACACACCAGAGGCCATTCAACGAGTTATACAACAGTAGTAGCAGCGGTAGCAGCGACCCATTCGACAACAACCATGCTTGTCAAACCCTGGTCCAATCCCACCAGCATGCCGGCCTTCAACACGGCAATGCCCGGTCATGGCCGGAGCGCCGGAGCTTCCTTCCTCCTTCGAATTTTAGTGCTGCAGGCGGTCATATACGTGTAACTCAACTAAACTCTCCGCCTCTACTCTGCTGATGTGTCAGAGTCAATCCCTTCGGGGTTCGTGCTAAAGCCAGCACCAACACACGCAACGCTGCGCCCTGCTCACCTTGACGTCGCACCCGTCATCCTCGGTGGTGTCCAGCGGCGTGCAGACGTACGTGAACGTGGCGCTCCTCTCGTTGGTGGTCCTCTTCGGCACTTGGTCCAGCTGCAGCAAAGCCGACACCCTGTTAATGGCACAGCCGAGTAGCAGTCCCACTGCTGCCACAGACCATCGGCGTGTTCTCCGCGTGTTTCCTGTGGACATGTGGAAATGAGCTCGCTCTCGTGCTACCTCCTGGTGCTGTCTTCGGTCACCGACCCGCCTGCGCCTATATCCCCGAACCCGCAGCGCTTTCTCCATCATCATGCCATCCAGTTCTTTGATCGCGTGTCCCTGGTCCGTACCAGCAAACCAACCGACCACTACAGCAGCACTTACGACGGGCCGGCCCGTTCCACCTCCTCCACAGCGGTCGCTAACGTTTCTAGGAAAACAGCACCTATTGGCCTACGTTGATACCTAGCACTGGGCACACCGGCAAACACAGCACAGACAAGAGCCAGCGCTGGCGGTTCTTCTCAATAGGGGGCAACGCGTATCGGATTTGTAAAAGACGGCGTACCCATGTCACCGTAAAGGCGCGTCCCCCCTTGCCTCCGGTTGGTCGGGCGCCACCGACATCTTTCAGCACAGACGTATCTTCTCTCCCCCTCTCTGTCTGATGGCAGAGCCCAAGGATGATCCAGACGCGGCCTATTTCATGGACAAGGTAAAGCTTTCGAGAAGTGTCAATTGACCATCAGAAACACACCTCGTGTCTTCCAGAAATTTGAGAGCCAAAGACATCGTGAAATCTGAACTCCGCCTTTTACGGTCCCGTGGCTGTTGCGTCGCCCCTTTCTCGCTACAGATAGCAAACCATCTTGGGAACAGCGGCTTGGAAGAGGTGAGCCGTTAGTGGTAAATCGTGAGGGTCGGACCTGCCTCGATCGTATGAGGTAGAGAGAAATACAGTTGTGCTACTGTAGTACGGGATGCTCGCAATCTCGCAAGTGGAAACATGGCTGCACTACCTCGGGAGTATCCGTCCGCAATCTGGATTTGTTTGTTAGTTACACCCCCTGCCTTGTCAAAGTGAGCAAGATTACAACATTATAATGGATGGGAGATGTGCCAGAACTCGAGGAGATGGCACGGGCAACAAAAGGCCTCAAGAACTGGAAGGCACCCGGCCATGACTCCCTCCCTGCCGAGTTGCTCAAGGTCGATGACGATGAACCCTTCGTCCTGGGACACCTCCGTACCATCCTCGTCAAGGTGTGGAACGGAGTAGATATTCCGCGAGAGTGGAAGGATGAAACCATCAAGGTGCTGTACAAGAAGGGTGACCGGTCCAACTGTAACAACTACAGGGGGATTTCGCTACTATCTCACGTAGGCAAGGTCCCCATCAAGATCATCACCAACCGTCTAAGAGCCTTCTGCGAAGCCAACAACATCCTCCCGGAGGAAAAGTGCGGATTTCGACCCGGGCGATCCACCGTCGACATGCTGTTCGTCGTACGCCGCCTCCAGGAGCTGGGGTGGAGAAAGAAAATACCGCTCTACATGTGCTTCGTCGACTTGAAGAAGGCGTATGATTCGGTGGACCGAGAGATGCTTTGGAAGGTGCTGGCCAGGGCCGGGATTCCCGCGAAGCTGATCGAAATCATCCGCCAATTCCACGATGGAATGCGGGCTCGGGTGCGTATGGATGACGGAGAACTATCGGACTGGTTCTTCGTGGCACAGGGCGTGCGACAAGGATGTGTGAT